GGGCTTGTAAAATTGTTTCTTCACTTTTAAAAATGGTGTCATTTCTTTTGTGGATCAGGTGAATTTTCTCGACAGCTGGATGAGAAAGAGGCTCTGGTGTCTCAGCTATCACGAGGCAAACAAGCATTTACACAACAGATTGAGGAGTTAAAGAGGCAGCTGGAAGAGGAGATAAAGGTAAATAATAATACTGTCAGACTCATTTTTGTCGTATGACCTAACCCTAACTGGAGTCCGTTACACCAACTTTTAAAGGGTTTGAAACTCAAGAATTAAACATTAAACATCCAATAAAAGGAAGCTGTAACTATCTCCACAGGCCAAGAACGCGCTGGCCCACGCCCTGCAGTCCTCCCGCCACGACTGTGACCTGCTGCGGGAACAGTACGAGGAGGAGCAGGAGTCCAAGGCCGAGCTGCAGAGGGCACTGTCCAAGGCCAACACCGAGGTGGCCCAGTGGAGGACCAAATATGAGACGGACGCCATCCAGCGCACAGAGGAGCTGGAGGAGGCCAAGTACGTGTGCAGATATGAGAGAATGTGCAGAAAGCTTTGCACATTGATCCCGAAAGATCCAACCCTCCGTGAAGTCACCCACAAACGTTCATTAATTAGCTCCTGTTTGCCGGGTGCTATCAGGCCCTGAGAATGAGACATGAGTAAAGCAAACGTGATACCTGCCCTCCTGTGCTTGAGGAATGAGTAACAAATAATTATACAGACAACTAGGCCTTATTACTGTCTGTCAAGCACACCAAGTTCATTGTGGCTTCAAGGCTCTATACTTGCTGGTCCCTCTGCTGGAATGCTCTCCCCCCAGATCTCCCTCCAGCTCACTCTGACTTTTGAGATCTTGACTCAAATGCTACCTCCTCAGAGAGGTCTTCCCTGAATATCTAGAATAACTGCCCAACCCTTACTCTATTTTACTTTTCTTCATTGCACTTATATCTGCAAGATGTTATTGTGCATACTCTCGCTCCCTTATCCTTTCTGTCTTGCACTCATTTGGAAGCTTCATGAGGCAGGGACCTTCTTTTTTGTTCTTTTGTCTTGCTCACTGCTACGTATCCAGTGTGTGGTTCGTAGAAGGAGCTCATCAATATTTGCTGAATACATGCATATTGCTAATATGAAGTTTCCATCACTCTTCAGTGTGGTAATAGTTCCTCCCTCTTGCTTTGGTTCACTCCTCCCTACAAACATGTATAATCTTCAAGGAAGAAGCTGGCCCAGAGGCTGCAGGCGGCCGAGGAGCACGTAGAAGCGGTGAACGCCAAATGTGCCTCCCTGGAGAAGACGAAGCAGCGGCTCCAGAACGAAGTGGAAGACCTCATGCTCGACGTGGAGAGAACAAACGCGGCCTGCGCGGCTCTGGACAAGAAGCAGAGGAACTTCGACAAGGTACCTTGTGCTGCAGCCTCTGCTCTCCGCTGTCTTCCTTGGTACTTGACAGCAGATAACCACTCCCGGTTTCTCAGATCCTGGCAGAGTGGAAACAGAAGTATGAGGAGACCCACGCTGAGCTCGAGGCCTCCCAGAAGGAGGCCCGCTCTCTTGGCACTGAGCTGTTCAAGATGAAGAATGCCTACGAGGAATCCCTGGATCAGCTAGAAACTTTGAAACGGGAGAACAAAAACTTGCAGCGTGAGTCCCTTTCACTTTCAGCAACATCCATGCCTTGAGGAACCTCTCTCTTATGTCCTCTGTCTGATTAAATCTCTACCTGTCTTTAACCCAAACAACAGAGGAGATTTCTGACCTCACGGAGCAGATTGCAGAAGGAGGGAAACGTATCCATGAGCTGGAGAAGATAAAGAAGCAAGTGGAACAAGAGAAGTGTGAACTCCAGGCTGCTTTAGAGGAAGCAGAGGTATAGGTCAAATGGTGCATTACAAACAAATAAGGTCAGAAAATACTTAGGCACGTCCACATAGGTTGAATTAAAAAAATAAGCAGCACAAAATTCATGGAAGGAAAGGTGTGCAGATAAACTTTCAGATGCTTCCATTCCCTGCTAATGTCACCCCTTGCTGTCATTAAAGGCATCTCTTGAACACGAAGAGGGAAAGATCCTGCGCATCCAGCTGGAGTTGAACCAAGTCAAGTCTGAAATCGACAGGAAAATCGCTGAAAAGGATGAGGAAATTGACCAGCTGAAGAGAAACCATACCAGAGTCGTGGAGTCGATGCAGACCATGCTGGACGCTGAGATCAGGAGCAGGAATGACGCCATCAGGCTCAAGAAGAAGATGGAGGGAGACCTCAATGAAATGGAAATCCAGCTGAACCACGCCAACCGCATGGCTGCAGAGGCCCTGAGGAACTACAGGAACACCCAGGGCATCCTCAAAGTAAGTGG